ATAGGAAGATTGGAATTGGGTTTTGTACACAAGCAGCAAGCCTAAATAATATGCCAGGTAATTTTTCTTTTTCTTTTCATCAAGCGCTAAATAATTATTATTTTACTATTTATATTGTAGGCTGGGAAGATGGTTCGTGGGGTTATCATGGTGATGATGGAAAAAAGTTTTACGGTATTATGGACGAACCGTATGGACCAAAATTTATGACTGGTGATATTATTGGATGTTGTATAAATTTTAGAAATAGTACGGTATTTTATACAAGAAACGGAATGAATCTAGGTAGCTATTGTTGTATTGCAAATGCTTTGGTTATTGAAGTCAAATAATATTAACGACTATTATATATTTTAAGGTATTGCATTCCGAGATTTAAAAAAGGCTTTGTATCCTTGTGTTGGAATGTTGTCACCAGGCGGATCTATAGGAGCAAACTTTGGCTATAGAAAGTTCAAATACATGAGTATGTTTTATTTAGTCTCTATTTTTCTTTATATATTTATTAATATAATTATTTTCCTAGTAATGAATGATGATGATATTGATGAATCTTTAAAAGAGAATTGGGCTGAATTACTTGATCCATACAATTATAAATTAATAAGTCAACAGATTTTTAAATTTTCGGATTTAAAACTATCATCAGAAACTGAACAAAATGTTAATATAATACTAAAATATCGAGTAAAATTTTATTTTCTTATAGGCGAATATGAGAAATCATTTGCAGATATGGTGATATTACTAAGAAATGAGACACATAATACATTTGTGTCAAAATATTTTAAAGAAATAAGATTAATTGCAAATTTAGACGAATTTCCAGAAGAGACAGTAAATGTATTATATATATTAAATGCCTGTGAAGAAGTTACTAAGTAAGAATTCAATAGTTTTAATTATATAATTTATTCAATTTTTTATTTACTTTAAATAAATAATAAAATAATAATTTTAATAAATTTTATTTATGATATAGATATATCAAAAAGTTAAGTATAAGATTTATTTACATTAAAGATTAACAGTTGTAATTCTTTTTTAACTAATTATATATTAAATTATTAGCAAAGATTATTTAAAATATGATAAATAATATTTGTAATAGACAAAAAATATGCTTCTTTGA